AAACCAGTCAGGTTGTTAAACTATAAAGGTGGATGCTAGTTGAAAAGATGTAGAGGTTTTTCTAATTTCTTTTTAATCATCCTTTGTAGTCCCTTTTCTTAACCCCCTCATTTGACTCTTTTTTCATTTTTCCATATTTGCTGGCACTATCTTGAGTAGATTTTGGTCCCAAGACCATGTGACTTATTTTTGGATTCCAGTGGGGTATTTTCACCAAAGAAGGTTGGTTTTTTTTTGTTTTTTTTTTTAAAGATTTTAGAAATATTAGAGTTAGGTGAAGAAGATTTTTAGAAAATGTTTATATTATTGAATGTCAGTAATTTTAATTTTTCTTTAAGGTAAAGACTAATAAACTAAAGACAGTAACTGGGACCATGGAAGAACTGATGGAAATTGTAGAGGGAAATGGCAGAGGGTTTGGGGACATTGTAATAAAAGTAAATGAAAAATTAAATCTGTCTGGAGATTTTTGCCCAGGCATTTAGAAAAATTAACCCATCTGGAGAATCAGCCTTTCCTAATTTTTCCTTTGTGCTTTGACCTTATCAAGAATTGGGTCTCGTTTTTTATCCCAGACTCATATTTTTAAGTAGAATGTATTAGTGCAGGTTGGGGAGGCCTGAATAGAATGTTTTCTCTTTACTATGAAATTGTGACTAGGAATAAAAGATGTCCCTCTTCAAGCAGTGTAGGGAATTGGAGAAGCCTGACCCCTAAGCCCCTGTTGTTGCCACAGCCCTCTCATGGTGCCTGCTCTGGATTCATAATCTGTAACCTTTTTCAGACCCCACATCTTGTTAACCTCAATGAAGACCCGCTAATGTCTGAGTGCCTGCTTTATTACATCAAAGATGGAATTACAAGGTATATTTGTTTCTTGTTTTGGTCACTTAAATTATTTTTTTTTCCTCCTGGATGATTGAATAACTTAAGGGAAATTATTTGTTGTAGATTTGTTATTTTTCCTGTCTGAAGTAGTTATGAACTATTCTCTCTTTCCAGATATGTAAATGTTTATAGTCAGCTGAGCCAGTTAATGTACTTTTTCTCCAAAAGACTGTAAATAAATTTTTTCCTTTTAACAACTCAAATGAATTCATTAGGGAGTTTATTTCACTCATGTCTTTTTATAGTGCTGTATAAGTTACATTGGTGAGTCATTGCTCCTTGGTTTCTTACTCTGATGTAGGGAGGCTGATCATATATGAGAATAGAATTTGTAGTCAAAAGCTTCTGACACAAAAGGCAATACCTTTTTTGTATGTACCAAAGGATATTCTTTGGGGAAAAGAGGGTCATTGTTTATAGTGCTTTTTGTGTCTGAATTTCCCTGGGAAACACTTTCTCTTGTGTTCAGGGTCGGCCAAGCAGATGCTGAGCGGCGCCAGGACATAGTGCTGAGCGGGGCTCATATTAAAGAAGAGCATTGTATCTTCCGGAGTGAGAGAAGCAACAGCGGTGAAGGTAAGAGTTCCTGGTTTGTGCTTCTCCAACAACCTTTTCATTTTGTATTATGAGAAATCCTTCAGACTTGCTATTCTTTGTCTCTGTCAGTTGTACTTTCTTGTACAATCTAATATTGAAAAATGGAGAAACCTGGGCTGCTTGTAAATGCAGGGATGGACATAGCTACTTTACATGAAAATAGTCTGGGCAAAAGGAGCCCTTTTGTTACTGCCAAGAACTGAGCAGGACATAGGCAATTAGGCTTGGTCTTGAATGTTAATTATGTAATAGAAAAGTAAGAAAAGAACAAATATCCTGGGTAATAGGAGATTTGAAGGACCTCAAGCCTTAACACAGTAGAATTTATTTTTATCAAAAAGGGAAGAGAAAATAAATCTTGATTTTTGCCTGGGTTATTAATAAGACAATGGCAATCTAATGGTATTCTTGTGTAATATAATTCACTCCTTACTTAATCAAAATATTAGCTTTTTAATCTTCAATTTCTTGTTATTATCTATATCTCATACTTAAGATTTCTGATGGTTTTCAGTTTTATTGATCAAACTGTCAGATATCACCAAAATTAATAATTCCTACCTTCATCTGAGGTTTCTCAAATTCAATTAAATATTTCTATCTTTGTTACCATAAATCCTGACAGTCAACAGCTTTCCATTATTTGGTGCCAGTGGTTCGCAATGATAACAGTAGTTTGTGTTCCTCTTAGTTATCGTGACTCTAGAGCCCTGTGAGCGCTCAGAAACCTACGTAAATGGCAAGAGGGTGGCCCAGCCTGTTCAGCTGCGCTCAGGTGAGACTGGGAGAGGTTTGATGTTTTCAGCAATGTACACATGGCTTGTGTGAGCAACTTTTTGACTCTTTGTTTAAAGCCTGAAGTGATAGCATTCGGATTTTTGTTCTTACAAAACTCCAAAAGCTATCTTTTTTCCATTAGGGAGAGTAAGGTTGCTAAGCCAGATACTATAATGTTTAAAAAATGATTTCTTAATCCTATTCTTGTTTTGTGCTAGGAAACCGTATCATCATGGGTAAAAACCATGTTTTCCGTTTTAACCACCCTGAGCAAGCACGAGCTGAACGGGAAAAGACTCCTTCTGCTGAAACCCCTTCTGAGCCTGTGGACTGGACGTTTGCTCAGAGAGAGCTTCTGGAAAAACAAGGAATTGATATGAAACAGGAGATGGAGAAAAGGTAATAACACAAGTATTATGTGGCCCACACGACTGTTTCTTCTTTTTTTTTTTTTTTTTTTTTTTTGAGACAAAGTCTCACTCTTTTGCCCGGGCTAGAGTGCCGTGGCATCAGCCTAGCTCACAGCAACCTCAAACTCCTGGGCTCAAACAGTCCTTCTGCCTCAGTCTCCCGAGTAGCTGGGACTACAGGCATGTGACACCATGCCCGGCTAGTTTTTTCTATATATTTTTAGTTGTCCGATTAATTTCTTTCTATTTTTACTAGAGACAGGGTCTCGCTCTTGCTCAGGCTGGTTTCGAACTCCTGAGCTCAAACAATCCTCCTGCCTCGGCCTCCCAGAGTGCTAGGATTACAGACGTGAGCCACTGCGCCTGGCCGACTGTTTCTTCTTTTAAACATACAACAGCATTCATGAAACAGCTCAGTGACTTCTCAGTTTACTCTTTTTGTTTCTTTTTTTCCTTCTAGGCTACAGGAAATGGAGATATTATACAAAAAAGAGAAGGAAGAAGCAGATCTTCTTTTGGAGCAGCAGAGACTGGTAGGAGTCCATCCTGAGTCTGCTACCTGTTAGGAAAAGGGCAGCTTATTCCTATACCTTCCCTGTTGCACAGATGAGCACTTGCCCAAATTGCTTCTCTCATTGATACCACATGCTATTCTTTCATTTCCTTAATGGAGAAAGAACTTAAATTTCCTGGTAGCCTTAGCCTGAAAAACTGTCCATACAGGTACTATTTTGTGCCTTTTATGTCTTAAAGTCAAATCTTTACTTTTGTCACAACCAAGTACTTTTTGAGAAAATAGAGCTTTTCTTGTAGACTTTTGCCTCTTGATAGTGGTCTTGGAATTTGCATCAGTGGTGGTTCTTTGAATGATAATTACTCTGAATATTGAATTTGATGGGAGTTTGCCTTGGTTTTGTTTCTGATCACCTGATAGTACTAATTCTCTGCTCTTGGGCTGACTCGGGGATTGTTCTTGTGCTGGGCGGATTTTTTTTTTTTTTAAGTTAAACTGTGTCTAAAAGTGTTGCTGCACAGTTGCATGTGTTAATCCTTCTCTGTTCCCCTGCATGGAGTCTGAATTCTCAACAAGGTTCTCAGTGGCATGTGTGGTGGCAGTGGGAGCAGGGGCTGCGTAGCCAGCTCAGACGGGAGAAGAGGCCTGCTTCCTTTGGGTCAAGTGGGGGTTTGGATGAGCAGCTGGAAAGTCAGTGTAAGGTCCCAGCTATGATACTCATGGCTTTAGCATTTTATGATGTTAATTGATTTCCCAGGTTTGATAGAAACTGAATTTCATGAATTAATAAGTTGATCTATTAGATTTTCATTTTTAAAGCCATCCAACTTTGGTTAACAAAGCTGTGATTATAAGAGGCTTCTTGGCATTCATTTGATATGTAAGAAAAACATGTAACTAACCTTTGAGTACTGTGGATGCACTTTAGGAAGTTCTCATTTTTTAAGATTCATGGTCTTCTTTTAAGATAAAGGGGCATTAGAGAGAAAGCTGAGGTACTGGCTTCTTCCCTCAGCATAAAATACAACATGTGAACGACAGCCTTTTGGTCATGCTCTATGCTTTGGAGAAGAAGGGGCTATTGCTAAATGTGTTGGAAAAGCCAAGGACTTGAGCAAAAGCACCCTTTTCCAGGTCAGCTCAGTTCTCAGGCTTGGCTGTGGGTTCAACCAGTTAGTTTGTTATCTTGAAAATTATAGTAAAGACCCAAAAAGAATGGATTGTAAAAATAAATCAAGTGTTTGGGGCAGGATAGTAGTGTTACAGATAGTCTCTTTAGGAGGCCTACTTGGCGTTTAGTTTTTAATGAAAACAGATCTAGCTACATTGTGATTAGGGACTTGAAAGGTTAATGACACATGAGGGAGCCTTTTATCTTAATAATGTAGTATAATCTAATAACATGCTTCTGATGGTCTGTGAGAGATCAAACAAGGACAGGTATAATTAAGCTCTATTTATTATTAACAATAGCGCCTTATATTTGTATAGTGCTTTATAATTTACAAGGAGCTTTAACATATATCATTTTATTTGATCCTTGAAACAACTCTCTTTGGTAGGTGTGTATGTAAGTAAAATGTGTAATGTTACCTCCAATTTATAGTTGAGGAAACCAAGACTTAAAAAAATGCTGTCTTACCTACTATCACACACCTGATATTATGGGTCCTAGGCTTAAACTTGGGTTTTCTGACTGGCTTCAGCGATATGTCCGTTAACAGCATTGCTTCTCAACCACTTCAGTCTTGTTGAAATGTAAATGCTGATTGAGTAGGTCCGGGTTGGACCTGAGATTTTGCATTTCTAACAAGCTCCCAGGTGTGCCAATGCTGCTGGTCCTAGGACCACACTTTTGAGTACCGAAATATAACAGAAAAAGGATATTGGTGCTCTCTATAACAAAGAATTGGTGATCACTCTATGCCCTAAAATAAAGATGGTGGCCATTAAATAAAGAGAAAGTAAATGTCTCTAAGTCATATTTAATTTCTAGGGACATACATAGCCTGCAGATAATGAGGTTCTGATGGTCCTATGCTCTGTGTATCTGAAAGCAAACTAGGATTTCACGAGTAACTCCTTAAAGCAAGGAAGTTGCTTTCCTCCCCAAAATCCAGCTTTCTATCCCACTTAAATTTCTTGACCTCGCAAGGATCTGATTTCTAATACTTTAGCCCAAAGAATATGTCACTACCAATACTGAGTGGAAAATAACTTTTTATTACCCTGTATTGGTCAACCAACAGGTATATTTCTAATGCACCCTGTGAATAAACATTGAGAGGATACAAAGGAATTATTTTTCAGTAAATATTTAATATCTATTTTATGTAGTCATTTTTACCTAATGACAGCAATAAAAGATGGATTTCAGTCAAGGTTACGGTAAGCTATAATCAGGTCTCTAGCCTGGGCAACAGAGCAAGACCCTGTCTCTTAAAAAAAAAAAAATGAAATTCAGGCTCACAAGTTTTCTATTATGATAGTTCCCCAAATGTACCACATTTTTATGTTGCTGGGCATTCCCTTAGAGTTAGGACTCTATTATTATATAGCTGGTCCTTTTTGTGCTTGCTTTTTTACACACCATTTTAGCTATCTTCTCTCTTATTTGCGTAAGTTCCTTGCAGAGTCTCTTCAGGAGGCCCACTTTGCCTTTGGTATTTAATGAAAACAGAATGGCCATTTAGTGACATGCGAATTGCCAGACCTCAGTAGTTTTTCCTTCCCTGTAATAAATGAATCTAAATATCTTAAAGTCTTTTTTTTTTTTTTTTGACATGAGATAGGATTTATATCTTGACACATGAACTTTGCATACAGAGTTTTTAGTGTCATGGTCAGTATGTGATAGGGTGATACGTTTGAACTGTGAAGAGAACATATTCTGCAGAGTCAATATGGCAGTATTTTAAAAAACAAAGACAATTATGGCCTCTTGATTTGATTTTCGTTTTTTAGATTTATGTAGACTCATTTACTTATGTTTTATTTTAGAGTTTGTCTGTCAAGTGTGATATTAAAGCAATGATTAGAATATTTGTCATTTCCTAAATTAGGTAATATTCATTCCATCTTTAAGCAATTTTAAGAGAAAGAGATAGCCAGGGAAAAAAGTGATAGTTGTCAGTTATATGGGAAGAATCAAAGGGAATTTGTTTATGTTCTATAAAACTCAGTTTATATATATTTGTAAAAAAAAAAAAAAATCTCTTCAGGAGTTGCGCATACTTTTTCCCTAATGTTTACTAATGTCATCTTTTATCACTTAAGATTAGCCATTCTGATTTTTAAAATTAAAAATGAAAAGAAAAAATAGTTTAGGGTCTGTAAATTTAGCTTCGGTTTTTTGTTGCTAAGTTTTCAAGTACATAGGGGTTGCCGATGGGTTTAGTACCCATTTAGTCAACAGAAATGGGTAGCAACATCTTTAAATCCAGAGGCCAAATTATTGGCATTATTGTTTTGTTTTTTATTTACCGGACAGCTCTCTAAGTCAGAATATTGTTGTTATTGTTGAAGGTTATTTTTTTGTAGCCTTGAAAGTCACTATACATAAAAATCTTTGGTCTATGAAAGGAAAATACTATTTATCAGTTTCAATTCCTTTAAAAAACACTTCTAGAGATATTTTGGTAATTACAAGTAAAAGGGAATATTAAGTAACAATATTTTTTTACTAGACTGTCTTGAACTACTCATCTAGTGAATATTTTCTTTTCCCAGTAACTTTTATTTCCTGAATAGAAATTCTTAATCCTATCCATTATATGGAATTCTAAATCCAACATTGCTTTCATAAAAACCCATGGTATCAAGATTTGCCTATGTTAATCAAGAACAATTGGTTGCTGTCCAAATAGCCCTTAAAACTACATTGTTGTAAAGTCAGACCGCCGTTATAGGCCTAAGTAAAGTTTTTTGAAAAAGGTAAGGGTCCAGAGACAGACAGCTGGAAAGACAGAGTTAGAGATGCATTTTAAAGTAGACCCATTTTACACAAGCAGAATATAGTCTTCGTGTTTATTGGAAGAGTTGTCACTTCAAGTAGTATTCTTTAAATGACTAGAAAAACTATGTGCTTTCTAGATAGAAAACATCTCTAAATTGCACTTATTAAAATATTACTTGGGGAATTTTAAATTATTTGCCTAGCTTAATTTTTGTTCTGGTAATTGATTTCTCAAAACTTTGGAGGTGAGGTATTTATTGGCTTAAGAGTGTGAAAGACAAAAATAAACCACAGACATTGTAAGGATCCTTTTTTTAATGCTTCCTTGTTATCTGGATAACAAACTTCAATTGCCCAACTGAAAATGGATTAATTTAACACGACAAAAGAAAATAGCAAATCCAGTATCTGCTCATGGAAAGACTAATTTCAAAACCCTCTTGTCTTATGGAAAAAAAAATCTGATTGATAAGAACCTCACATGTTCTGCTAATAGAGATTCTTAGCACTTTTAACATCATCCCTGTTTGACTGCTTCTTTTTCTACATTCTCATCTTCTAACTTTTTTCTAGGGCTGCTCTTTTTAGTAAAGCTAAACATAACTTGGTGTCCTACAGCCTTACTAACCTTTGTTAATCCGCCTGCTCATCACATCTTTGTATGGCATCTGTGCTCACTCGTGGGGGAAAGAGATTCTGGAAGAAGCAACAGCAATAACCAAGGCAAATGTTGGGAAGTGGCTGCATGGGTTGTTAGCATGTGTGGGGTCTAGGATGTTGCTTCATTTTCTTGAGATAGTGGAGATACTATGTCATACTGTTTGATTAATTTCATATGACCTTAAAGTGAGAGGCCCGCCCCTGTGTCAATACTCCTAAGAAATTTGGTGGCAGATTTCATGACTTAAACTAGAAAGTGAAAATTTGGATTAGGGATACTAAATAAACAAACAAACCTTTATATTTATAGTAATCTACATATGCATATGTTTTAATAGACTTCTACCTTATTGAGGGAGTTTTTTTGTTTTGTTTTTTAGTTTTTTTAGTTTTGTTTTTAAATT